TTAATATCCCAGATTGCGACGGCAATTTAATAACTGCAAAGGCGATATTAGACCCTGGTAGCACTATTTCAATAATCACCGAATCTCTTGTAAAAAGGTTAAAACACATTCCTGAGAGACAGCATGTTGAAATTGTAGGCGTTGGTGGCAACGTCAGAAATGCTCATAATGCCGTGCGTTTAAACGTAAAATCTACAATAGAACGGAATTTTTCTCTCTTGGTAAACTTCAGCATCTTAGAAAAAATCACTGAAAACTGTCCTCAGTTTAGAATTGATGAAAGAAAGTTGGCAATTCCTGATCGAATCTCTCTCGCTGATCCTAGTTTTAGCAAACCCTCTAAAATAGATATTTTATTAGGAGCCGATGTGTATTACAAGATTCTCTTAGGAAACATAATAAAAATAAATGATGATTGTCTGTCACTAGTGGATACTCACTTTGGTTACGTCCTCTCGGGTCTGATCCCCTCTCATATTGTTAGCACGAATTTTAATCACACCTTAAACCCCAAAAAATGTTCATTCCTGCAATCAAATGCAGAGACCCCTCTAGATCTTCTGTTGGAAAGATTTTGGTCAATAGAAGAAGTCAAGCCCTTAAAAAATCAATATTTAGCTCCCGAAGATATGTTAGTGGAAGAAAATTTCTGTAAAACTACAGTTTTATTGGATAGTGGTCATTTTCAGGTGGATTTACCACTGAAAGGTCCTAATGCGAACGGGACATTAGGAGAGTCATTTGATTTCGCACGAAAAAGATTTTATCAATTAGAGAAACGATTTGAGAAAAACCCAGATCTCTTTCTTCAGTATAAGAAATTCATCGATGAATATATTTCCCTAAATCACGCTCGTATTGTACCCCTCTCTATGAAGAGTGATCAGAACGAAAATAAGTATTTCTTTCCTCATCACTGTGTTATACGAAATGACAGTAAAAGCAGTAAACTTCGAGTTGTGTTTGATGGTTCGCTGAAAACTTCATCTGGTCTCTCTCTTAATGACATAATGTATAAAGGGTACACAGTACAGCCTGACCTGTACGATATTCTGCTGCGCTTTAGAACCTTTAAATATGTAATTACTTCTGATATCGAGAAAATGTACCGGCAAGTAAGAATCAATCCGAAGCATACATATCTGCATAACATCCTATGGCGGGAAAAACCGTGTGAAAAGCTCCAGTGTATAGAATTATCAACTGTTACATATGGCACTAACTGTGCCCCTTATTTAGCTACCCGAGTACTGAAAGAACTTGCTGTTATTAATCAAAAAACATTTCCACTTGCTTCAAATGCTCTTCTCTCCCAATGTTACGTAGATGACATTCTCTGTGGCCAAGATTCATATGAAAATCTTGTCGAATTACACCGTCAACTGATGCAATTATGTAAATTAGGAAATTTTCACTTACACAAATGGTGTTCAAACTCAAATTCACTTCTCAACAATATTAATCACTCTCACAAATCTGATATTTCTCAAGAAAATTACGATATTAAAGTAGATGGAATTTCAAACAAAGTTCTAGGAATATTTTGGAACCCCAATTTGGATGTATTCTCTATATCTTTACCGATACCTTCGGAAGAAAAACAAGTTACTAAACGCGAAGTTCTCTCAAAAATAGCTCAAATGTTTGACCCATTAGGATTAATTGGTCCAGTTATTGTTATAGGAAAACTAATGATGCAAGAAATCTGGAAAACTAAAATTGATTGGGATGATTTTTTAGAAGAAGATATTCTTATAAATTGGAAATCTTACATTCATGATATGGCGCTATTAAAATCTCTAAAAATTCCTCGTTTTATTCTATTAGCTGATAAGCCAATATCACTAGAACTACATGGATTTTCGGATGCTAGTCAAAAGGCATATGGTGCCTGTGTATATATACGAGCTTCATATCCTAACGAGAAAGTGTCATGCTTCCTTATTACTTCTAAAAGCAGAGTTGCACCTATAAGAGAAATAACTATTCCCCGCTTAGAACTTTGTGGTGCACACCTCCTCTCCACTTTAATAACGAAAGTTCGCTCAGTACTCATTGAAAGATTATCTTTTGATAGTGTAAATCTTTGGACAGATTCGGAGATAGTACTTGCCTGGTTACACTCGTACCCTTACAGATTCCAAGTATTTGTATCAAATCGTATATCACAAATCCAAACTCTCACTCAAGATTGTAAGTGGCGTTATGTGTCATCAAAGGAAAATCCAGCCGATTTACTCTCTAGAGGAATATCTCCCGCTCGATTAGAAAACGCAAACCTTTGGTGGAACGGCCCAAGTTTTTTCCAAAATTTCGACATGGATTTACACGCACATGACAGAAATATTCTAACTACCAACGTGGAAGAAAGAAAACAAAAAACGGTACTACTCACTGATACTAACAATATTTGGAAATTAATCTTCACTAAATTCTCAAGTTATTCGCGATTACAAAGAACAATTGCTTTTGTACTTCGATTTGTAAAGAACTGTAAGCCTCAGTCCGAAAATTCCACTGGTCCGCTTTCAATTGAAGAGTTAAAAATTGCTAATCAGTTTATAATTAAACAATTACAAATAGAAAACTTCTCTAAAGAGTTTAGTCAACTCAAATCGGAAAAACAGATCTCTAATAAACAAAATTTGAAATTAACTCCATTCATTGACAATGATAATCTTATTAGGGTTGGAGGCAGATTATCTCAAGCACTGATACCGTACGACCAAAAATTTCCTTTATTATTACCGTCAAATAACCATGTGGTTAGACTTCTCTTTAAAAGAGATCACATTTTATTAGGACATGCAAGACCGCAAACTGTATTGTCAAGGATTCGACTTAGACATTGGCCGCTAAATAGTCTTTTTAAAAAGGAAAAGGCCCTTTCAAAGGAAATTAAGAAAATTTCTATTAGTTGTCATACTTGTCACAAGTTCAAAGCGAAAACATTTCAAAAAATAGTGTCTGTCAGTACTTACTAGTTTAAGCGTACGTTTAGTTTTTTTTGTTTTAAAGTCAAAGACTTCAAAGGGGGGGAGTATGTTCAAAATCGATTTGAACCGCAAATGTTTTAGAACTGTCTATTTGGGGCCATCTGTTTCACAGAACTACAAAAATTGTCGGGTCGTAAAAAATGCCCTTTTTGGGTCAACTTTCTAGGGGCTTAAGGGCGACAAAGACACAGTCCTCTCTGAACATCGGCCTAAGTTGCCACGCATTAATTTTTGTATAATTAAGATCGCGCTAGAGACGCGGCTCTCTCTCTCTCTCTCTCTCTTCACACTCTATCGCATTGTCTCCGCATAGTTTTTCTCTCTAGTAGTTAAACAGAGAAATATTTGCTCTCTCCCTTATTTAGTTAACAACAATAAGTAAATTCTTGTTTAGTTAGTAACTCTTCTAAGTGTAGTTAGTAACTCGTCTAAGTTTAGTTAGTAAGTCTTCTGAGTGTTCTTCAGTATTGTGAGTGACGTGTTGTGAAAAGTGCCAGAAAAACAATAGGAACTAGGAACTGGTAACAAACAATTATTGACTTTGATTATTTTGACTTGACAGTAAAGGCTTCATAGACTATATAATTGCCTTGAAAACTAAGACTATAAACTTCTTCTGCTAAGTGTTCTTCGCATTTGCTGCAGAGAAAACTTGACCATTTTTTACTACTTATTTTAATTAAATAGTGTTTAGTATTTAGCCGTAAATGTTTATTTCATTTTAAACTGAATCCACCCTATTTTATAAGCGTTCGCAACAAGTGCAATCGCTGTAATTGTAACGCAAGTTTCGCAGAAAACTGCTACAAATGTCAATATTCCATGGGTATATTGATAAATAAGGTCTAATTTATAAGAAAATGCATTTTCTCTGAAAACTTGAAGGGATAAGTAAAAAACGGTATAATACAATTTGATAGACAATTAAATTGTGCATCTGATTCTCATAAAATATACAGGGTGTTCGATTTAAATTAAACAAGTTATTGCCGTTTAAAGCTAGAAATAATTTAAAATAAATTTTAGACACTCTGTACGAGGTTGTATTTTTTTTATTATTGCAACACAATAAATGATCAATAAATAAACTTCAGTAAATATTTAGTATTAAAAACTTTGATACCCTTGGAGAAATGAAGCCTTAAAATTTTTAATGCAATTTCACAAAATTGAAAATATTTCAAAAACGGTAAGGTTTAAGTGTGACAACCCTTAATCAAATTTACCTTTATTTTATTAGTAGAAACTAAAAATGTAACAATATACAGGGCTATTTTCAAAAGGGCATTTTTCCATTTAAAAAATTAAAATACTTTACATTTTTTACTTATTTGGGATTTGGGACACTCTATACTTTGTAAAAATATTTTTAAATTGTAGCTCTAATAGTCCTTCATCGAACCCAAAACTTACAATTTGGAAAAATCTAATCTTTTAGCTAGAATACTCCGTGTCGTATGTGGTGAACAACCCTGTATATATATTTTGAAAATTGCAATTTCTTTTAAACGGTTATCAATTTTTTTGGAATATACTTCAACGTTTCTTTGCCATGCGGAAATATTCGTAAAATTTTTGATGGTGAGTTGTGGATATAACGTTTATGATACCTATTTACCAAATTCAAAATGAGACCGATTACTTTCATAAACGCGAGTAGTACTTGGTTGTATCAGTTTAATATTTATGAACATTATCAGTAGCTAATAAAAAAATACATAATAGATCCCTATCAGGGGTATCTATTACATGATACCAAGTGACATTCCCGCTTCCTGCAAGCAGTTGTTAATGGCACAGAATAGCTAATAATTAATCTAGCTACGCAAGCTACAAACTAACCAAGCCGGCAACCGGAAAGCGGGAAGCCGGTGCACTATCGACGTACCTTAACGCTATTTCCTGTTTTAAGCTAAAAATTACACATACACGCTCATATTTTTATAAGTATTACTCCATAAACTTCTCCAAATTTTCTTCTGGACACCTTTTTTTATGTTTCAGGCTAAAGCAACACCTACAGAACCACACAAGTTTGTACTAATATGTAGTTTTCTGTGCTGCATCTTTTTGACGATATTTACCACTATTTGTCTAGGACTATCGTTCTTTTTCGTCAAGAAATCAAGTCTAATTATATTGAAGTTGCAATGTTCCTTTTCACTCTTTCTTTGTGAAATACTGTTTACCATTGCAATACTGTTAGAACCACCTCAGGTAAATACATTGATATTTTTACCTTATTTATCCCTTTATATTAATTTTCTAGGAATTTCAAATCTTTTTTTTTATTTTTTAGAAGTACTACATGATTTTTTTAACATTCTTAGAAATGTTTTTGCTGTTAAGTATATCCAGCCACTTGAGTAAGCTGCTTATTGTTTTCACTGAACTGATACATGTTCCTAAACCAGTTACATCAAAATATACCGTAATAGGAATAATATCTGGTAAGTTCTTACAACATCTGTCATAATCCCATAGAAATAAGTAAATATGTCAACGAAAACCCTAAGTTTGAATCAGTAAAATATTTTAGAACCGTTTTAGGTTTACTTATTTTTCTGAAATCTTATTAATAACAAAGTATACAAAAAATAATAAACTAAACAAATGAAAATAATTTTAACATATTCCTCATCATTAACGGGAAGCAACAATGAACACCTGTTCACTGTTACTTCTAATTAGTATGCTTTTATATTTAAATAAACTGTTAACTTAAGAAGTCGTTAAGTTAGCGTATTATCTTAACCATTATGCTTATTCAAACTAAAACTTTGAAAGCTGTAAGTAGTCTCGTGTTGATGTTGGCTTATATGTAACTTTTAGTAGAGTTTGCAAGTAAAACAGTATTTTAAAACTATACTAATACAGCAAAGATTATAATAGACAAAATCTTTTTGTGTTATTTGTGGAAAATTATTGTTAAAGATATTATATAGAAGTGTTTTTTACAATGAATAGTTTTATCTTAAAAAATAAAGTTTTAAAAGGACGATTTTAATATCATATATAATAAAGCAGAAATTAATGAAAAAAAAATAATAATGTTATTCACGTCTTATACAATATTTTTCTCTGCTATTAAGTGAGCATAAGATTTATATACATAAAATATCAAAAATAAAAAGTATTGCAGTCAGTAACATATTCTATGTTTACAGTTCTAAAATAATGTACATAAGATAGAAATGACTTAAGAATTCTATGCTTACAGTCTAAATTATTAAACGCATTTACCAATCCTATGTTTAATACTCTGGATCAAGATAAAATTCCGATTATTCTTGCATTGCAAAAATGATTACGTGCAATTAAAAATCATATGTTCAGTTCTAAAGCATCAAAAGGACATAGGAATGGTTCCGTGTAAATCCTATGTTCCGTACAAAAATGTTAACTTTAATTACAAATCCTAAGTTCACCAAACCAAACCAAAATACTTAACATAGAACAACGAAATCCTATGTTCAGTTTAAATTACTTCACGTTGTTACAAATTCTATGTTCACTGTTACATAGCGATGAACATAGCTTGTTCTGAAATAATAAATTCATATGCCTAACAGTTCCAAACGATAAATGGGATATCATTGAGTTAGTTATAAATTCTATACTCTTAGTAAAAAATATTCAACACAGTTGCAACTCCTATGTTCACTGTTCCAAAGTAATAAACATAGGATAAATTGTTCTATGTTCAGAGCTTAAATTAATACCATACAGTTGCAAATATCCTATGTATATTTGCAAAGTAATGAACATAGGTAGCATACTTAATAAATCCTAGGTTTACAATAAAAAACACTTGCATGTATTTGTTCCTATGTTCACAGTTACAAAGTAATGAAGAATGGAGGGCACTCTGAGTTATAAATCCTATGTTCACAGTAAAAATAATTAAATGTATTTTGTTTAATTTCAGGTGTGCCTCTTATCACAATATTTGGGAATCATCTAGCCTACAAAACGATGGATATCAGTCTAAAATCATGGTGGATGATTGAGAACTCTTTGGCCTTCAACATATTTGTAACGGTAGTGTCTATTGTCACCGCCTTGTTCATATTTATTTATCTATCAGTCGTCAAGAAATTGAAAGAGCTAATCGCTAGTCAAGAGAAACATGAAAAGGCTCTCAATAAAAGGTTTGTTTTCAGCTTATATAAAAGTAAAAGTTTTGTATTCTAAAATTAAACTTATGTTCTAGGATAGCGTTAATAAGAAGATCCGGGTGTATATTTTTTGTGCTGTTAGCTTTTTCAGTAAGCAGCATACTTTATATAAACAATGAGAAGCTTATGTGGAGTACTTATCAATTTAGTGCGGTAAATTTAATTGTGGTAAGTAAAGATATTCCTTATTCCTTACTGTATTTGAACCCCAACAATTTACGTTTACAGGGTCTAGTACTGACGATATGTTATATAATAAAATCTGAAAATGGATTTAAGGAAATATGTGGCAAGAAACGCCATGTGGATGACAGCTTTTTTAATGGAGATACTGGTAATCCATTACAATGTAAGTACGTCTATACTAAAAGTTATATTTAGTTTATTTAAAATAGAATATTTTTTGGCAAATACAGTGAACAAAAAATCCATTTAGTTTTATAAGCTACAACTTCAATTTAGAAATACATTTGAATATTTTTTTTTCTGGAAAAAATTATGATTAATCAAAAAAAAAATAAAAAGTTTACAAATTTATCATTTCAGTCAATCTGTCATCAAACTATCTTAGTCAACATGTTTATTTTTTGTTAATGATGACAGGTATTGATAATTTACATTTCAAATATTATCTTGAGAACGGTTACTCGTAGCGATTTTTATCTAAAGGCCTTTTTATGTCAAAAATGGTGAAAATGTATATTTTTTCACTGACTAATTTTATACAGGTACGGAAGAAAGGTTATTACCCTTCAAACCAGTTAAAAATGTGTAGGTGGCGCCACCTATTAGTAAGAGTCATATTGACATCGAAATCAAATTTGTCATATGAAAAAACACCCATTCACCAATTTTTATCCAAATATCGACATTTGTTCAGATATTATTTGAAAAAAATCGAAATAAAAATGAAACTTCTACATTTTGCTCTCTCTATCTCGAAAATGAAGCATTTTAGGATATAAATTTATACGAACTTTCGTATTTATTTTTATCTGCTGAATATATTGCCGAAGTTTTCCGAATACAATTCGGACCACCCTGTATATTTTTCGTAATATTAAAATATCTTTTTCAGTTATGACCAAACAAGAAACAGAAATAGACAGCCAAAGCACTATTCGACGTCAAGACATACAGCAAATCTCTCTCAAATCGATGGAACCCCTAAAAATCTCAGCTAGCAGAACTCAGAGCATATCCAACGCGTTCGAGAGCTGCCTCCAATCGAGCTCAAACTTCTGCGACGTCAGCCTCAAAGAAACCTCAACTCTACCCCGAGACAAGTCTCAACATCAAATAGAACCGTACAATAGCAGTCCACCGACATTCAGAAAGCTACAGACCAACAACAGTTTTTCACAGTCTCCTGATATTCTGTCGCAGAAAGTTTGTGTTGAGTTGGATCTGGTTGCTTCGAGTATTTGCAGTTCTAAGCCAGAAAAAGAAACAACGAAAGATGTTAAAACGACGACTCCGAAAGTTGAGAAGAAGTCAGAGCATAAAACAGTGAGGATAATGTTTCCTCCTAAAGTAATCATCACACCTGATGACGCAATATCGAGAATACTAGAGTCTGATAACAACAGCTCTGAAAGAACTCAACCAGATGGTCATGATGACATTATCCCATCCATAGAAACAGTGTCTGAGGTTTCCAGAAGTCCATCCAGTCCACAACACTCGCCATCTTATTCTGAAGACAACCTCGATGGAGTTTTGGATAGTATATCTCATGATCTTGACTACTTGTTGAACAGAAGTGACGAATTCGACTCAAATGTGAAACCGTCAACTTTAAGTAGAAAGGTATCCAAACCCCCTGGTGCTAGTGTAGTGAACCAAATTCCGGAAGAACTTATTAAAGATGAAAGTACATCAGGGCCTGAAGGGATAATGCTCAGGACTAATTGTTAAAACGCTCCTGAACGCGCTGACTTAGTGCAGAGAATTCGAGAATATGTTTGCTTTCTGATGATGTCCAAATTTATGCAACTAATATTACACCAAAACCTAATAAGATTTCCTTTTTATTCACTAGTTAATTTCAACCTTAAATATAATTGACATAAAGTCGAAAATTCAACAGAACCAAACTAACAATTATTAATTTAAGAAATATGTAAATATTTTATGACCTTATTCCAGGAGGAATATTTCATGTTTCTACAAACAAAGAAGAAATAATCTGCAGTGTGTTACTAATACAAGAACTTTTAAATAAGGACTATAAACTATAATGCCGAATTCATTAGGATTTAATGTATTACTGGTTGCATACTTTCACTGGCTGATTATCCTAATTTCTTAGGACAAAATAAAAATGAATTTTATTATCGAAAAAAGACTGATTATAATATGTAAAAAGTAAAAATGAAATATTTAGTAATGTTGTAAAGTTAGTCAGTAATTCTCTAAAATATACAGGTGTAAATAAAATACTTAATAAATTTTATACTCAGTTTAATAGTAATTTATTATTCCAGTTTAAAAATCAATAAGAACAAAATCCAAGATATATTAAAATATAAAACGTCTAAAAAACATAATAAAAATGTAATTTCCTTGTTTTAAGTTTATAAAATATACTATTAATATTATAATTTTAAACCATTTCCAAATAATAATGCTTAGAATTACTCTAAAATGAAGTAATTAACAATTTTGTACCTATACATATGTAAAACATATATTTTCCATGTTATTATTTAAATTAATTAAAAATTAGTTATTCTATTTTATCTATCAAAATTCTCAGTTGTTCCAACATTCACCATACTAGCTAAATCTTCTTTTCTCTCTTTTAATCGTTCTCTGATCAACTCTGCAATAGCTCGTTGAGTCTGCCTTTCTACTTGTTCTATTCTCTTGGCAATGTCCCTCTTTAAGTCCCAATCAGGCTTCCTCGGTGCCAAAGATGTAACATCCAACTGGTCTAAGACAATTTTAGTATTCGCTGACTCAAGTTGATCTTTAACCTAAAGCAAATTTTACAGAAATATGAAGATTAAACAACAAAAAACATCTGATTTATAGTTAAGAAAATTATAGTAATAACTCGATACTATACCTGTGTACTGACATCCTCTGGTTGCGTACTAGGAAGTAAATTTTCATGTAGATTTTCATCAATAGGTTTATAGCTCCTGAATGAGGGTCTAGGTAAGACAGCTAACTCATTTGCTAATTCGGAATTAGAGCCGTTAGAGTTAGTTTTGCCATCCCTTTTCCTTTTCAAAGAAAGTAATTTTTCTCGGCGTTGCCTAGCTTGCTCTTCTAAGGAACTCGGATTATCATTTGAAGACATTGTCATATTTACTTTAAACCGAAGTTAATGAGAATATTCGTTTAAATTAAGAAAATATCTGTAAATAAGTACGGAAAAAAATTTATACAAAAACAAACACAAATTGTTGGTTAGGTTCAAAAGTTCTTCTTCTTGATTGGTGGTTGTTGTTGGTCTGTGGATTGGTCATGGATTAGTTTTACGGCCTAAGCTTCCAGGACTATACGGCCCTTCTTACGGCCAAACCCGAAAAAGTTCAAAACCAGTTCAAAACACTTCAAAATTTCTTCTTGAATTAATTTTAAGGGCGTTAGCATCATTAGGCATTTGCATAAAAGTGTGTGTATTTTGGGTAGTATTTCTGATCCATCTCCTTTTCCATCCCAATCCATCCAATATAAAAATTCCAGAAATTATTTCAAACGAAATTATTTAAAATAGCTAAAATGCTATTTGCCATTTTCTATTTTAAATACATTTGAAAAAGTATTTTTTATTTTGTATTTTAAATAAAAAAAATAATCCATATTCTATTTTAAATAGAAAACGATTATGAAGTAAATTGAATACAAAAGGCAGTGAGACGACACTTTTTTGATAAGATATTATTTTACAATATCAGAACTTTGGTGTAACTAGCAATTCAGCCTAGGGAGAGCCTAGGGCTACCTAGAGTTGAGCCATGGGTTGAGCCTAGGATGACCTAGGGCTTTTGTTTTTAAAAAAATGAAAAATAATAATATTGTTACGGATTCCGTGGGTCCACTAATTTAAACTAACGATAAAATACTTAACGATTTATTATCTCACTTTATATACACAATTTATACTAATTACAATACAGAATTTATGCAACTATTATTACTCTAACTTTTCTGGCACCTTCGCCAATTAATTCACAATTTAAAACGCGGTATGTATTATCAAACTGCAACTGATTCAACTGCCAAGCGCGGGCTTTTATATACCCCTACCAACTGTTTCTGGAACCTTCTATAGAATTCTGTAATACTTCTTTTACTTTCTGGTGAATTCGCCAGGTTTTTCGACACGTTGCGATTTAGTTAGTATTAACTAAACAAAAGTAGAAAAAGTTACTACACCTCAAGCAAATAAAAATTAATATTTACCGAGTACTTGAGTCAAAACTTTATAAATTGTATCAATTATGTATCAAATCTAAATGTATAAAAAAATGATCGAGACTAGAGAAATAAGGGTAAGAGAACTGGAAGGAAATGGACCATTATCTTTGTTCATATTATCTTCACATTTATTTATATTATGGTTTAATTGTTTCTTTTTTCTTTAACCATTAGTTTATATTAATAGTTTTTTCTTTCTTGTGTATGAGGTTTTATAATAATTGAATGATGGAAAACATTTTTTTATGCGATGTTTCGCTCCAACATAGTGGGCTTTTTCAGGCACTTTATTCTAAAACTTTTTTATTTATATTGACCTGTTATTGACGCTCTCATAGGCATCTCATTGGCTGTAATTTGAGACTTGTTTGTAGTTTGATTAATTTTAAGTTATTAACATCTATACAATGATCAAAAATATGTTGAACAATGCAAGCTTTATCTGCTTTTATCTGATCTACCATATCTTACTGAAACTTGCTGAAACTGAGCCATATGTTCTTTAAATCAATATTGATCTTCTACCTACAATATGATGATATGGCTATGAAATGAAGTTCGCTGTCATTTTATAAAAAATATTATACGAGGAATGTTATATATCGTCATTTCGAAGCCTATCGGACGCCGTTTTTTTCGATCATACGGTATTTAATGTATAGATAAGTACCTATATGTCCTTTATAATGTATAGATAAGTACCTATAAGTACCTATAAATACATTTAAAAAAAATTTTACCCACCTCTGAACAAGTAAATCATAGTTGATAGCTATCCTATTCAACACAAAAAGTTTCGTAGGTTTTGCTGATTCCATGATCATTAGCAGTAAAGTTTGCTGATTCTCTACATTCCAGTTATACCACTGAAAAGAGCATAGCTCAGTATAGTACACTTCCCACTAAAAATAATAAAAAAGAATGATTTAAAAAAGACATTTAATGCTGCAGTGTTAAGACTGTTAAGTGTGTGCATTCAAGAATTTTTGAAAAAAAATGTCTATACTCTATACCTATGACATTTTGTGACAAAAATCCTATATGGGTATTTCGCCACTGCAAGAAAATCTACAAAATAAAATAGTTATGTTTTGTAAACACTGCTGCGTTAACCCAACGGAAACTACTTGTCAGCAGTTAGGTATACAGATAAACAAATTTGCCAAATTTGTTTGATAATGTATGGGCTGCTTTAGCCAATACATTATCAAACAAATTGCGCAACACAGGCTGTTGCGCAACGAGTTGCCAATGTATGGTAACGTTTGATGCGTTGCGCAATTGTTTGATAAGTTTCAAGAATATTTGAATTCTTTTGTGCAACAGGACTGTTTGCTCAGCGCGTTTTGTAGTGTATGTGTGTGTTGCGCTTCGTTGTGCAATATTTTAGTTCTTTAACGAGTCATTCCAAAAAGGAGTTTTTCCAAGCTGCCTTAAGACAGCAATAATTATTCCGCTGCATAAAGGAGGAGATAAAGATGAAGCTTCGAACTATCGCCCAATTGCACTCCTGCCCACATTATCTAAGATCATTGAAAGATTGGTTAAAAAAAGGTTTCTATCTTATCTTCTTAAATTTAAAATACTTACTATCCATCAATTTGGATCTCTAAGTAACAGTTGCACAAATGATGCTATGTTCGATCTTTTTAATAATGTATACTCTAGCCTGAATAACCATCACTCTACAGCTACAATTTTCTGTGATTTCTTTCTACTGTGTAACTCATAATATCTTAATTAACAAATTGCAATACTATGGATTCAGGGGCGTGCCGCTAGAATGGCTCAAGTCATATTTTGGCAACAGAAGGCAGCTTGTGCGGATTGATACGTCTATGTCTTCTTGTAAGCCTATAGAATGTGGTGTCCCTCAGGGTTCAGTACTTGACCCTACTTTGTTTCTGTTGTTTATCAACGACATTGCAAATCTAGACATTAGCGGTAAAATCTGCCTCTTCGCGGACGATATTAGTTTCACTTGGAGCGGCCCAGATGTTGCGGCACTATATGATACTATATCCAGTGTCTTACGCACCATTAAATCTTGGTGCGATTATAATCTCCTATGCCTCAACCTATCAAAAACTAAAGTTTTGTCATATAAAAGTACTATACAACCTTTTGTACTTAATAACAACACTATTGACGTCGTGGACTCTGTGAAATTCTTAGGACTTGTTGTAGACAACTCGTTAAAATGGGACTTTCACATCGAAGCTCTATCAAAGAAACTAAGCGCTGCCTGTTTTGCGCTAAGATCAGTTTCTAAGGAACTTAACTTCTCAACCTCTAGAATAGCCTATTATGCCCTTTTTGAGTCACATCTTTGTTATGCCCTTCCATTCTGGGGTACTTGCTGCGCAACAAAATTTGATCGTGTTTTCAGACTTCAAAAGAGAGCAGTTTGATATTTATTGGGACTGAACAGTAGAACTCACTGCCAGAATTTCTTTAAAAATTTGAAAATACTGACTCTTCCTTCTTTATTCATTTTTGAATCCGTTTGCTTAATCCGCAAGCACATATCTGCTATTCCCGAAAGGCCATCTCATAACTATCCACTTAGGAATGCGGAGCACGATTTTTATCTGCCAACCCCGAGCTCAGAACTAGTTAAAGGTTCAATACTGTACAATGCCAAAAAAATATACAATCATCTGCCTTTAAATATCAAGTCGCTTTCATTCTTTCCCTCATTTCGCAAAGCTCTGAAATCATACTTACTGGAGAGAGCCCTATATGCGGTAAACGACTTTTTTGTTGATGTTTAATCATGAACAATTTTGAATTTTAAAATCATCTCACACACTGGTCAAAGGTCAAGTATTTAAAATTTTATAACTCTTAAAATTATATCTATTTACTGCATACTATTCTGCAATTGTCCATGTATGTACTTTTTTTAATTATTATGACTTAATTTTTTTTGAATTGTATGATTTGTATTGTGTATTTTTTGTTGTTTGTATATTTTTTTTGTGCTTTTGTTTGTTTTGTGATTGCTTTGTTGATGAAGCTGTTTTGGCTTTGTGCACAATAAAGCGTTGTTTGTTGTTGTTGTTATTGTTTTAGTTCTTTTATCCAAATTCTTTGTTTTCTTTTTCGTTTTTTGGTATCATCGACATCATCTAGGGTATATACGATAATAATTGACACAATGGCAATTGGGGACATGATTGTTTCTCGAACAATGCACAACTTTTAATAAAAAGTTTGATCAAAATCTTACTAAGTGCATTGGTGATGCAGTTGAGCAACGGAACGTTGCGCATCGCTTTGTTGCGCAACTTGTTTGATAATGTATGGACCGCAGAATCAGTTGTGCAACGCAACGTTGCGCATCGCTTTGTTGCAAAATTTGTTTGGTTTGGTAATGTATGGGCCGCTTAACGAACAAAAAAATGCTAAACGTTTTGGAAAGTTTATCTCTTTCCGTCGTTGGAAGCAAAAAAAAATACAAATAATTATGAAAAAACTATTTAAAATATTTAAATGCACTATTCGAGAACACTTTTAGTTTTTTTTTAAAGATACGTCTACAAAAACCTTTGACGTTCTGTTAAAATGATGTAATTATATAATAATATTAACAATGATTTTAACAGAACGTCAACGGTTTTTGTAGACGTATATCTGTTTAAAAAAAACTAAAGTATTCTCGAATTAGATTAGATTCTTTGTATTTTGTTTAAACTGTCCGAAACGTTAAGCATTTTTTTGTTTACTAGGCAAATTTGTTTATCTGTAAACCTAACTGCTGACAAGTAGTTTCCGTTGGATTAACGCAGCAGTGTTTACAAAAAATAACTATTTTATTTTCTAGATTTTCTTGCAGTGGCGAAATATCCATATAGGATTTTTTTGGAGAGGCAAGAATTTCTGGTTATACTATACTTTACCTCATCTTCGCAATGTTGAGCACATACAGTAGAATAACTTGACAGTGCGGCCAGTATTAGAAAATGGCATAGTATTGTAGGTCCATAAATATGATTCTGATAAAAAAAGTTTTGTTAGTAATTCAACTACTCGTCATGAGGAACTTACTTTCAAATAAAGGAATATTACAAATACGCCAAAAATGATTTGTACAGTTATATA